AACTCCCAGATCTGGGCAGTGGTAAGCTGCAGTAGAAGTTTATTTGAAGAAACTGGAAATGTAAGATTATAAGAAGACCTGATCTTACCTATTTTATTTCATATTTGGAATAACTACAAGTACATATGCACTGGCATTTGCACTTATGTAAACCAGAATGGTTTCATGGAAGCAGTGGATTTGCATTGCTTGTACTATAATACTGGCAGTTTAATACAGTTCCAAGGATGAAAAGGTACATGGATATTACAATGTACTGTTCCTCTTAGGAAAAGGGGAGTTTTAGCTACTTGCATCAAGATTAATCTTGATCTCCAACATCTTCCCACACAAATTAGATCTAAAATTGAAATAATATTCTTGTTAGGCACTTTCTTTTAGCTAAGTTTTCCAACAGTCAAGAAGGAAAGTCAGCTAGTGTACTGATATAAAAGATCAGATCTATGATATAATTTTCTTAAGCACATTTCTTTCATTATTCTCTATTTAATAAAATAGTTGAAAAACCCCAAAGGATGCACAAAATAGGATATTTTCATTCTTAAAATAATATAGGAGGTGTAAATTAGAATTTTCAAAATAAATAATTAGCACCAACAATAATTTTTTGACGTATTTAGCTATCTTGATGAAATAATATGTGAAATCATCACAAGATACAAAGGAAGCTCATTTGGACCATCAGAATCAGCTTCAAATCAGACTAGAAGCTGCATATCTGAGTGCTAAATATGATTTCACATTTGAATTCTCTTACATAACACAAGTGCAAAACCAATGCTGTCACATCTGTAAAAAAAAAAAAAAAAAAATCCATCTATATGGAAAGTCTGGTTATGAATGAAGATGGCATAGCAGTAATGTCTCAGCTATTAAAAGTGATGAAGAAACAAGTGCATTGATTTCAAAACCTCTCTTTATTAAGGCTATAAAAGAACTTTTAACATGAAATTTCCAAGTAAAAGTATTTGTAGGAGGCCATTTAGAGCTTACTGTACAAAACTGAGGGTATATTCTCCAGGGGAATAAACTTCTGTGTGACAACTCTCCTCATAGCAAGGCTGCAAAGAGGTAATTAATTTATAGATCTTTGCATTAAGTAGAAAGAGCTCTTGTCCTCTGTCTCTAGAACAGCCCTATGGCAGCTCCCTAAGGCTTCAAAAAGGGAGAATGGCCCAGAGTGAATGGAAAAGCAGAGTCTCAGGGGGGATTCCAAACCCCGAATTTGGAAGTGTTCAGTGTTCTAAACTATTCAAAACCTGATTTTAGTAGCAGATTTGTCCATGTCTAGTTTCCAGGTACAAAGATAATCAGTACATTGCACATGACTTTTATCAAAATGCTGCAGTCACTGCTCCAGGCCTTCAATTTCAATGTGTTACAAAGACAAACAGGCCTAAGAGTGCAAAATCAAAGAACTTTTTTGTCTCATTTTGGTCGATACTTTTCCTTTTGAAGAAGAGAGACTGGACTTTAGCATATATTGAAGTCTGGAGTTCAGAAGTGAATTCATGCAAACCAGGTATGAATTCTTAATTTTGTTTAAATTACTTCCTATCTGACTGTATTATATCCCCTTTTAAATTAATGCCAATATGGAAGCATTTTGCCAACCCCTGAGGATAAGCCAAACCACTTAATCTTTACTGAGCAGAAATATTGGCCTTTTCTTTGGGGCCATTTTCCCCTTGCAGTTGAAATCTCTGCATACCAAACCTTAGATATAGCATACCTGAGCTTATTCTGAAAATCTGCTTTTAGAACAGGTTCCCTGTGAAACAAACAAGTGAAACCTCAAGACACAGCCTTGTTCAAATGGCAATATATTGCATGCTGTATCTGCTGCTCTTTGTTCCCAAAATGGTTCAGTGAAAAGAACCCCAAGAACTATATAGCAGCTGTGAGCAATACTATAAAAAGTGTTCCATTTCAATGTTGCTTCTTAATTGCAAATTATCACCCTGTTAAATTTTCCCAAGAAATATGGCTTATAAAAATGTCCTAAGAATTTCTAATATATCATTATTTAAATCAGCCAAGTGTTGGCCAAAAAGAATATCAATATTCTATTTAATTTACAAGCTCTGTCCACTGAACACTTCATACAGGAACAGAAAATATTAGAAGACAGGATGTTCAAATGTGATTCTGATTACTGTACCAATCCCATGCTACCTTATCTGCCAGATGTGCTTGAGATTCCAGATTAGTACACAACATTTTCATTTGAAGTAGTGTTCCTGCACTCAGTGTTGTTTAAATCAGTATTGCTAATGAGGAGCTGGTAAAATGAGTAATAAAATTTTATTTTTACTTGCTTAATCTGGATTCATCTTTCATGACCCTACAGTATCATTACCTACTAGGCTTTGAAGCACAAGAATTATACAGAAGTTGGTCTTTCACCTGGCACTTAGGTCCCTGTTTTAAAAGAAGAGAACTCTTGTCTTCCCCAGATACCCAGTTTTTGTTCCCTATGCTCATCCATTCTTGACTGAGGCTCTAACAGCATCCCTATATAGGGGAATTCCCAGGCCTGAACCTTAAATATTGAATATTAGAGAGTTAAAAACACAAACAAACGTCCTACCATCCTACATAAAAAAAACCAAGCCCCAAACCAAATCCAAGTCTACAACAAACACATATTAGTATGTGTAAGAAAGAACTTTCATGTAAAATATTTATTTTTCACTGCTTTTTACTAGTTTACTTCCAAACATCTCTGTTGGTCATGCATTAGCTAAGACACTCGTGGTCAAGTTTACCCATCCCACTTCAGCACCATATATTTAAGGCAGGATCTTTTCTCACAAGAGGTTTGAAGAAAGACTTGCTCTAACTCACATGATAACACATGACTAAGCCCCTGTGGCTGGCTGTGTGCAGAGCTGAACATCCAGCACTGGGGCACTGTTCTCCCAGGCAAGGAACAGCAACAGCAATGCCCTGATTTCACACATACACTCACTCTCACACAGGCCTGGAAAGAAAATTCTGAATCTTCGATTCACAAGATGCTACAAAGGTACCATAAAGGCATCAAGCATAGCTTTGCCAGCATAGAAAAAGATTTGCATCATGCCTCGCCACCTGCTTGGTACAATCACCAGAGCTTCTAATGGGTTTTGCAATTTGAAGGGGATTTTTGCTTAAAGATACAATTATTTCTCTGAAAGATTAAAAGGTGACCAAACTGCCACCTTTGTAAACTAAAATAATGTTTTAAAAAGGAGAACTGGAGATTCTGGTTCTTTCATTTATCTTGTGCACAGGTAAAATTGAGTACTATCAAGTCACAGCCTATCAATAGTCCCCTGGCAGAGAAAAGAAGTCTCAGAAATTTGATTTTACAGATGGCTTCCCAGCCTCAGAAACATTTGATGCTCTTTTAGCAAACCATAATCAATAGCTCTGACTAACTGAAGAAGGTTTTTTTCATGTGACTAATTTCTCCTGTAGCCAACTCAACACCTAACTTCTACAGTTTAAGAGGCTTACCTGGAGAGGCATGAAATAGTATTTGCTTTAAGCCATAATTTGAGAGGGTCCTGCATGTAGCTGGTCCTCACTCCTCTCCGTTCTGCCCCCACTGCTGCTCCTCATCCCCACTGCCTCCTATTCCAGGATCTGCTTTATGAGCCACAAAATTAGCTTACTTTACTTAAAATTTAGTAACTGTGAAAGAAAAGTAAAAAGTGTAAGCAGAAGAGTATGGACCTCCTGGGGTTCTGCTGAAAAAAATTCTGAAAACAGAGCAAAGAAGACAGGTTCTCATACCCACAAGAATAAATATAAGCAAGAATAAGAGGGGTGAGGGTCATGCTATTTCTCTTGACATGCAACAACCTCACTGCACTGTCCTGTCACACTGCCAAGGATGAGAGCACCAAGCCAAGCTGTTCCCATGCCAGCAGTTTGTCAAAGCCCATATCATACCCTGGGCAGGCTCAGAGCAGAGGCCTTGGACAGAGCGTGTGTGCCCAGGGAGCTGCAGACAGCACTGCCATCACTCTCTCCATTTGAATGGCTCCCATGCCACTGGAGAGAAGGGAATTGCACATCCTCTATGCCTGGTGCAAAGACAAGGGTCACACTGAGTCATCACAGATGCTGCTCTCCCAGCCACCACAAAGCGATGGGAAAGCCTTTGCAGGGGGAGGGGACAATCACTGGCCCCCAGGGAGCCATTCATCTGGTCTGACAGTAATGAATGGGGGACACGGAGGAAATCAAATTACATCTCTATTCTTCCCAGTCATGAGGGGTGCATTTCCTCACATACAGTGAAAACAAGAACCAATGTTTAAAGAAACATTTATTCCCTAACACAGCTGAATTCACCAGGGCAATTCCAGTTTCTCCTCTTCTAAAGAGGAATGACCACCCATTCAACAGTAAAATGATGCAATATGCATTTGGGGAAAAAAACCCAAAATCAAACCTAAATAAGGGAACCACCACACCATTGGTCTATTAAAACATAAGAATATTAAAAAATAAATGCTTATATAAGAAGAAATATTTATAACTAACCACACAGAAAAATAAACTAAAAGTCCCCCAACAATCCACAACAAATAATTAAAGGTAACCTTTAAATTACTATTGCAGTCTATAAGAGACATGCTGCAAATTTTAATAATATTGTTTGGAACACCAGTCATTTTGCTCTTGCTGAAATTCATTTTTGATAATGCAATAGTAACATCTCAGGAATGATATTAAATTTCTACTCTGTATTAAAGTAGAATTGTATTAGCATGGTACAGTGTGTGTATCCCTGCTGGGATTACTTTCATGCTTAAAAAAAACCCCAATGTTATTTTTCTATTACTGATAGAAGTTATCTATTTTGACACTGGAAAATATATAAACTATAAACTAACAAAATCTCTCATCTAAGAGGATATCACTATAGTTTCCCTCCTGATGTATTTTCAATTCCTAGCCAGCAGACATTCTGCTAATTTTTTCTGCTCATTCGATTTGCAGCATACCTGTGAGTCCATACACTAGAGTTAGCATGTCCAGTTCAATTATTCTTGCTCAATCTTTGACCAAACTATTGGGAAATCTGCCTGCAGAAAGAACAAAAGATTGCAGCTGACAGACCTATGCCTTTCTGAACAAAACTCAAGTGGCCTCCTTCCAGGATGTCTGTCCATTCAGTCTTTCCATTTGGCTACCAGCACCTCGAGAGAGTGAGTCCCATGGCAGCTTGGAGGGAGAAAGAAATGGGGAATTAGAGTTACATTTATATTCAAACATACCTGTACTTTACTGATAGGATTTTCCAAAGCACTCAACCTCATCCTAAGATTTATTTCTCAGCTTAAGAATTGGATCACAGGTTTCTATTCACCTTTCACACTGATGAGTCACCTTGAACATCCTCCAGCTGGCCATAACCCTCCAATTTCTTGTCAGGGTATGGAAGAAATGAGCTCTAACAGGGATTTAAAAGGGGAAGAGAAAGGACTCACCTTATCTGATAAAATCTGCATTCTGCTAGAAGCTGCAAACAGTTTCAGATATGAATTAGGGAGGTTATCAAAGACAGGCCAGGAATCATGGCCCTAACTAATGGATCAATCCCTCCACTAAAGGATCAAGACTGTGGCTATCAAATACTGGTACTTCAGCAAAATCCAGGTTTTAGCCACATAATTGCTTCAATTCACTCCAGAGGGTACATTTCCAAACACACACCCTAATTTGCTGTTGCAGTATGATGTGTAATTTACAGTGCATTCTGTACTGGTTCTGAAGCCCACCAACACACTTCCACGTGCTGAAGTGACACATTCTGCCACACCTGCAGAGTAGGGGAGATTAAATTCTCAAACAGCTGGTGCAAAAAGCAGCCATAGGCATTAAGTTTTGGACTGGTACATGCACACCATGTGGGTTCAGACTGCTGCCCTCAGGAGCACTTTTTGTTTTTTTGCAATAACATCAGAATTGGGAACAAGATAGTGAACTTGAATATATTCTAGAAAAGCTACTAGCAATCACCTGGGGAGCAGCAAATGACACCTTTGAGCCAAGAAGTAGCTTTCTGTAGGCCTGCCCTTGGCAGTAGGTGTCACTGCAAGGCAGAGGTACAGCAATTAGTAAATTATTGGGACACAGACAAGAACAGAGGCAGGCAAAGATGCTTCTTGGTATGCAGGAAGAACATGCATTCCTGACAGCTGCTAGCAGTACACTCCTCTTGTGCTAAGTGTTTTGGCTGCAAACATGATCAAATAGTAGACTGCTAGTATACACCTGCCTAAAAAAAAAAGTATGGAAACTCCTAGTATTAAGGTAAAAGCTTGCATTGCAGAATTCTCTATGTTTAGTTTTCCACTTACTGAGTGCTCAGTCCTCTTGACACATTAAAGATTTTACTGCTGTTCAGTACAAACGGAACTCCATGCAGCACCTAGTCTTTAATCCTCCCAGACCAGCTGCAAACTACCCAAATTGTTCCTTTAAGTTCTTGCAGTGGGCCTTTTAAGGAAGAATTAATGCATAAATTCCTGTCGCTCTAGTGTCCAGCCAAGCCAGGTTATGGATATTTTATCTTCTAGGGAGCACTGTCAGCTGGGTTACACTCAGCACAAAACATGAGACAGACATCTCTTCTCAGCTCCTGTGTCATTTCAGCCACAGGCTGTTACTAGGGATCACCATTTTTGACCCTCTTCAAGTCCTTTAGGATTCTGTAATTGTTTCTCTTCACACTGCAGAGAAATTACAGAGGCTGGTATCTCTGTGAGAGCAGAAGGCTTTTTCCAGAAGGGTATTCAGCCTGCTGTCAAGTAGTCTCTCCCTTCTACTCTTTCATGACTGAAATATTAGCCTTCAGTTGCCACTGACACAAAAAAGCCATTTTATGCATTGAGTCATTGAGCCATTTTACAAAGAAACTGCCAGCTAAATTAAGAACTAGTCTTTTACTACAAGTCTAACAAGGCAAGAGAAGTATTTAAATAATGACAAGGCAAGAAAAATACTAATTCATAGTCCAGGGATTCCTAGAACTACAGTGCCATGATTTACTTTGAAAAGAGGGCTCTTGCTGCTAAGAACAGCCTACAAGGTGTCTTGATTTTCCCAAATGGCTTTAAGCCAGAGATGTAAAAGTCAGTGCTCTTATCACCACTACCAAAATCTACTAGAGGTGCTAACTTAGTTTTGAAAGAACACTTAGAAAGCAGATATAGACTATAGCATCCAAATGTTGTGCAGTGACCTGAAATGGGCACTGGGGCAAACCCTGAATGTGCTGAGTACCTGCACTGTCAGCCTGGCAGAAGGTGCAGATCATCAGAACTGCTGAACAAACTGAGCAAGGAGGGGTTTCCAGCCATTGCCTGGAAGAATCCAGTAAAATAGCTTTTCATCAAAGAATGCCCTTAAAGCTGCACGTAGAGCATACGGATATTTTTGTTTTGTTACTTTAAGAAACAGAAACCACTTCTATAGCAAAGCTTTCATGCTGCCCTCTCTGAAGCACACTTAGTTTTCCTGCAGGGAGAAGCATAAGAACTTGGAGTGAGAAAGCACGAGTTACTTCTCCTCTAATGAGGCACTGAGGTACTATTTCATACTGCCACCAGAGCTGATACCACCACACCATAGTGGTAGTTAGTAGACACTAAAACAAACCAGGCTGCAGGGCATCAGGCAAGCAAAGTACCTCACTACATCTTTTCTCTCTCTCTTCCACCCCCACTCCACCAATTTAATATGAACAGGAGCTTGGCCTAAGATTTTTTGTGCTTACAGTGCCTGGCACATCAACCCTCTCCAGGGACTACCTTAATAAAGACAAGACAGACAAAGCAGAGAGAAAATGGATAACATAATATCTACAAAACACACAATACCCACTGGAAGCAACCTGTAGGTTGCTAATGCCAATCCCTAATGCAGCAGTACTCTCTTACTTATGGCTGTACACTATCTAATAAAATACAACCTCTGGGAAAGAAACTCATCATCTCCTTCTGCTCCTCTGTGTAAGAAAGACCCCTTGTTTACCAGTTCAACAAAGATCCTGAGCTGTGACCAGAAGAAAAGGTGCCAAAATTATTTGCTGTGCTGTGGACTGTACTCAGACTGTGACCAGTGAGGCAAGAGGTGATGGGCTCATTGCTCTACTCCTGCAATAGTTTTCACCAGCAGTACTTGGTCTATGACTTTTAAGGAAGGCGTGCAGCTACAGCAGGAGTGGGTGCAGGCAAAACATGCACAGCAGAGCCCTGCAGACAGTGCTCAGGTGTGAGGAATGGGACACTTGACTGCTATATTCATCCTATATCCATTTTAGGAGGCAGATGTCAAGCCTGAACTCTGAAAATATGATCTGAACCAGGGAGACACAACAGTAGCTTATATATACTGGCACTGTGAAGCAGCTTTGAAGGGGAAAGAAAACCCTGTAGACTGTAATCAGAGAAGAATAAAGTTGTAAAAGTTTTTACTTCCCATGAAGCATAACATCATTGAATTTTTACTGTCTTTTTTTTTTTTTTTTTTTTTTTTTTTCTTTTTCATGGCCTGTTAAAATCTGATTTTCCTTTGGCTTAAGAAATGGTCATCTGCATACATAACAGGCACATACTGCTTGCAACATGCCCCTGACAAGTTTTAGGGAAATCTGTTTCAAAAACATATATAGTAATAGAATCAAAAAGCATTTTTCAAATTGAATGCTTCTGTTTTAAAAGGCATGACTTTTTGAGAAGTGTTTATGGTAATGTATGGAAATGTAATCAAAATGTAAGAAAAAAAGGGAGAGTGTAATGTGTGCAATGAGAAAGAAAGGATCACTGCTTAAAATGTTCAATATGCTCAGTACACTGTTGCTTGAAGTATTAAAGAATATGAAATTTCCACCTGGGTTTTTATTTACTATTTCATGGCAACATTTAACCAGTCTTTTTAGCAGCTTTGTCATTTAAAAACATGTTTCTTCTCTCCTTTTCTCTAGTAGCATGGGCTGTTTTAGAAACAGTTTTACACGATCAAAGAGCACTGCATACCTAAAAGCGAAACTAGACTTTGTTACTGTAATTGCCACATCAGAAATGTGCCTTGTGCATGGCCAAGGGACTTTTAATGTTCTGTGACATGGTCTATAGCTTAGCCCATTTCCTGACCTGACTGGAGCTCCATAACAAAGTGAGCAGTGCTGTGCTAAATGTAATTCTCCTGTAAGTTTGTTGGGTGAATTTTCCCAGGTGTCCTACTGCTAGAACAGAGAAGTTTCAGCTTCAGCTCATGCAAATCCACTTAGCTACAGCTATTTAAAATCTCACTGCCGAGAGGCACATACATGTGCACTGTTTGTTCATACTGCACATCTTCAGCTCTCATTTTTAAGCCATCTGTCATTGCACCGAAGTCCAAATGACTTTTAACAAAGACAGAATGTTCAAACCAACAGTGAAAAGAGAGCTGAAAAGTCCATAAATACGTATCTCCAAGATATTTGCCTAGCCTGAAAAGACATTTTAATAAAATTCAGAAGAATAAGTAAGGTACAAGAGGCTACAGAAACATGATTTTTTCCCCCCACAAAATCATCTTAAAATATTCATTAAAAAACATGTTCATCTCAATTCTATTTATGCATATACATCATCTGTATCAAAAAGTTGCTATGTCCTTCATGATATGAACATCTGAGTGTGTGTGGCCTTTAGCATCATCCCTGGTATCTTTCTTTAGTGAGGGTTTTATGTTATTTATGTTCTTGAGATCAGTTACTTCAGCTGTGCCTTCTGCACACATTCAGTAGTCTTCTCAGCAAGCATGTACTCCTTTTACTCAATATTAACATAAATCAAATACTTTTCTTACATAAGTGTTAAATTTGGTGCCATAACTTGGCTACATAAATGCCAGCAGTCAAGAACCACCAGAAATCACTGCTTCAGAGCAAGCATTTTTCTTCTTATATTTGAGATACTACAAACTGAGCAATTTCTTTTTAGTCTTTAAACTGCATTACAATGATACTGCACCTCAGGTTCAGAAGAGTTGGATAACTAAAATACTTTAAAAACAAGCAAATTATTACAAAATTGAAAATGACTGAGAAATAAAATTGTATGTGCTATTAATTTTCTTACAGAAAGTCTGCTTTGCTTTTCAACTTAAATTGAGCAATGAAAAACAGGCTGAAGCATATACTCCTTATCTTTTGAATGCAAAACTAAACAGTAATAGCTGGGAAAGAGCCAGAATCAAACTCTAACCAAAATTCTCAATTTCTTCTGATAAACTAAGCTATGGAGTTATTTGGATCAAGTGTTGGGATGTGATTGGATAAAGGAGGAAAGGAATTAATCCAATTCCACCTACTCTCCATTCAACACAAACATGTTGCAAGCCTCAAACTACCCATGTGTGAACCCTATAGTACTCCTAGTTTTCACAGGGATGACCCCAAATCTCCCTTTCTACTCTATAATCAGCTCACCTTGAAGACAAAGGAGCTTGTCAAACCACTATTAACACAGAAGGAAAATAAATATTTAAATCTCACTCCTACTCATCAGATATGAATAAATAAAAAGGTACTGTTTAATCATTAGCCTGAAACAAGAATGACAGGAATACAGACACAGAGGAAGTCTAAGTAAATAATTTTATTTTTGTTTGGGTTTTTTTTACCCACCTCCAATTTAAAGGGGACCATTAAAACCCACTTTCATCTACCATTTAAGTGTTATCTGGTAATCCCAAATACATGAAAATAAATTCTTTATTCTACCTCTTCTTCCTCTATGCTCGTTGCTTTTATGGTGGTTGTAACTTTGCTACTCATAAA